GCTGATTCGTAAGCAAGACACGTACCTGCCGTAATCGTACTTCGTCTTTCGCCTCAGTCGAATACCTTATCTATTGTTTATTGCATCCACGCAAAAACCCCGTATGGCGCGGCGTTTTACATTTGCAGCGATGGCGGTTCTCGATGGCGGAATCGTATTAGCATGCGAAATAGACGAAGCGCTCATGCACCTCGCTCGCTCGCAGAATTTTCGCTTCGTCGCTGTACTCGCAGCGATACTTTCCTTAATTTCTTGAGACGCTTTACAGAATTATGCAAATCTTATTATTGTTCTATGTAAATTATACATTGATTACAAATATTTCTGAAAAAATTATCAGTAGCATTGCTATCAGTTAGTTTTGTTTCTCTATATTAATTTTATTTATTACTGTTTGTAAATCTTCTTCTTCTTTCTCGTGTATTAGGCTTAAAGCCTGTTTTATTGGGCCGAAGGAAACCTCCAACCTGGAGGGCTATACCCCTAAGGGCTAGTTTCACAAACATCGGTTAACTGCTAACCGAAGGTTAAATGATTCTCTGTCTCATCTTACATAATAAGATGGAAAGGGATAGGGAGTCGACTGAACCCTAGTTAACAGTTAATCAATATTTGTGAAACTGGCCCTAAAGGGGTATGCGTGACAGAATACTTGGTTGCCACTTCCCTTCGAGAGGTAGCGTCCGAAAAAACCAGCGGCGTCCGCGGCTGGATTTAAACTCGGATCTTTTCGTTCATTTATTTACTAAGCAGCGCACATTTCTCTGCGCCACTGTTTGTAAATCATTTCGTTTAATTAATTAGTCTATTTGTGTATTACTACCACACCAGTGGTTTTACTCGTGTATGCAATAGTGATGCTAAGGACATTTTGGAGAATACTTTCTATATTAATAGTAGAGCTTCTATGTTTGTTATGGAATTTTTCCTCGGAAATCTTTATATAATTATAAATACTTGAAATTCACTTGATTAATGAATACACACATACAATCGGAGCCATGAATGTTCACGTCGTGAGATTATTGTGTGAATTTTGTGAATTGTTCTTTAAGACCAATAAATAATCAGTTTACTAATATGCAATAATTATTATATTATTGCAAACAATTAAGTAAAATCATATTTCGGTCACTGACAAGTGGCAGCAGCCTTCTAGAGCAGGCCCTTTTCTCAATGGGTTGTTTTTCCTCGACGAAAAACCGATGAAGTGTGGCACATGCTCGAGAGTCATATTGGCGCGTGCCACATTACGCCACCAGACGCGAGTAATATTTTTAAGCCTTTCGAGATAACGTCTTCAGAGAAGTGCACAACGCACAGATTCTCTTGAGCAGCTGTTTCTAACCATGGCTGTGCTCCTGCGCTCGCTACCGCGACCGATAAACATCCGGCGAATCGACGTTTCCACTTGCAAAAGAGCGGTTGTTGTAACAGCGTCAAAGGAGAGAACTGGATGGAGCTTATAACACGCTTTGTTCTCGCTTGTCGTTGAAAGTTCTCGCGATATCGATTCCAAGCGCAAACAATAACGCGGCTTTTAATAAGTCTTTGTAAAGCAAAATATTTATTATACTTTCTTTTCTCTCTCTCTCTTATAACATTTTTGGAAAATTAATATTATAAATATTTACTGAAAAATATTGTTTTGCTGAGCATAAAGAGATCAAAGATCAAAATATTCTATTTCTGACAGAAGACATTTTGAGAAGAAATTTTTCATTTCTTCATTTACTCACTTTATTTAACAGATTACTTTTATTACATATATAGAACGATAATATCACAAATGTTTAAACGTTGCACAAGGATTTCATGATCGCGTTAGGCTAAAGCGACCAAATGCGGATCAACAATTTGATGAGTCGCCAATAAGCGACATTTTTAAGTAATTCACGTAAATTTTGCTCTTTTATATATTTACAACTTTATGCTATATTGTCGATGTAAAAGACATCGATGTGTTTTTATGTCGCTTATTAGCGACTCGTCAAATTGTTGATCCGCATTTGGCATCTGATCCGAATTTGGTCACCTTATCCTTTTTTTTTTGGTGTTAAACATTGTTCAAACTTATATGAAACACACGAAGCCTTCTATTCAGAGTTGGACATATGAAAATTAAATAGTTTTACAAGAACAAAAGAGTTACCGTCTGTAATTATTCGTACAGCTAAATGAGGCCGCTTTGTAATTCTCATTCTGTAGATCTGCATACACGTTCGTAGATCGCCGTGAACGATATAACAATTAATGGTACGACTAAAAATTTCTGTGGTGAAATATTTTTCTCATTGTTCGGCCGTTGCTTTTCAAGGTCCTCTTCGAGAACAGTTTTACCGGTTACTACGACCGCTTTGAAGTTCTCTGAACGCTTCGGTAGAGCGGTACGCACAGCGGCCACTGATCTGGCGCTAACGAGACTCTATTTGGACTCCTGAATATGCATAGAGTAAGCGCGCCAAGTGCTGGAAAGTAGATCACGAGGATCACCGAGTAAATAGAATCCACTTTGGTAAGCTTAAACCGCGACTTCGATTCCAAGTTTATGCACGGTGTTGTATACTTTGCGAGATTAGCGGGCACGTATCTAAAAGTTAAGTGTTTAGGGTGCGCCTGAGCGCGATTAAATTTGGAATATTTAATTCCGATTGCAAGCTGCAACCCCAACGATATCAAAACATCCATTTGCGCTTTGCATTAAGTAGATTCGCGAATTCACCAACTAGTCAGAATATATGTATAGTAAGATATATTTTCAACTTCTTAAAATGTATCTTTTAAATTGTACTCCTCCTATATCATCAGTTTCCGTTTGATGAATGATCTAATGGTATGTCAGAAAAAATTTTATCTTACAATAAAAATATAATATCAATTGCTTTGACAATCTACTTGGACGCGTTTCTATTATTTGCAAGTGAACGCTTTCTCCGTATACGTCACAATATAATTTGAAATTTATACAAATGTTTTTTTTAAGTTTATTTTTTGTGGAAACGTCTTTCAACCGTTAGGTTATATCACTGTGATATTTCTAAAAATTCCTTGAAATTCAGGCTTAATCTTGCTTAAACACTGAATCCAACACTAGGCGCTTAAACTCCTTCAAGCGCTGAGTTTTTTAAATTTCCCGCAACGGGAAAATATGCGGGACTATATACGTATACATGCATACATGTTGTAAAGTAATAAGCAAACGTAGAGCTGAAGAATGCCGAGTTTTAAGATCTACGAGTGAGTTTGAATTTATTATTAATTAACGAAAGCTACAACGAATGCTTCCTCTCTGCATTCATAAAGTGCCAATTTCAAATTCACCGAAAAATTTACGATCTATAGGAAACATTCGGTATGCATAGGCTATTCTCATATAACACTCAAACGTAAAACGGTAAATATTTAAGTGCCAAAGCTGTAATGATAAATTTAGCAGGTCATGTCTTTCGAGATAATATGCAGCAATGCGTTTGACGATGCGTGTGCACATCGGGAACCAGGTTGAATCCGTATAACGGGTAATCCGACCAGGCGATTAAAAGCGGCGGTTGTATGCAGTGGCGTGACCTATTGCGGACCGACAATGCGTGTCCACGCATTTATGATTCGGATATGCGTTTGGCATTCGTTCCGCGCGCACGGAGAAATATTTTGGCGTTGCCATAACGTCGCGCGGAGATCGCCGTAATGACTCGACATGCCGGCAGGAACCTGCGTAAAAATGGAGAGCGCGAATTCGAACACAAATATCACCGCCGCTGATAAAAACAGACCACGGTTTATCACGCGACAACGATTTTTTTTTTGGGAGGGTATTTCTGATCGTCAGAGCATAGATTATTTTTGTTACGTCCGTACACGCAGTGTGTACTGCAGTGACCAGGATGTCAACCCCCGTCACTTATACTCTCGGAGTAAACATTTCAACAAACGCGAAATATACGAAAAAAATTTTGGAACACATCCCTTAAAAGATATCCCATTTTAATTACTAGCATTCTAGTAGATGTTTTTTTTTTATTACACGTGTATTTAATCGCACTAAAAATTGCACTAAAAAAATATTTCGCTACCGTAGATAATCATGATTTGCTAAAAATATTTTGCTGTCATAACTATAAATTTCTAAACCACAGCAAACGGTTTGCTGTCGCATCTAATACAATAGGCGCAGTAGCAACATATTAGTTATCACAACTAAATAATAGCTGTCCGTATTTTTACAACTGAAATTTAGTTACCACGTGCAGTTTTTTAGCTACGGCAGCTGCCTTTTTTTCCCGTGCGAATTTGAAAGAGCTAAGAATCTGTAGTGCGATGATTAATTGGATCATGGTTATTGAATTACAAGCGATTACGAGTGCAAACTATCAATCTGTTGAAGAAGACCAAGCGACTCTGGTAATTGGGTTTCCCCGCCAGCGATTAGACGTGCCTATTGTACTCGACGTGTATTCGCGAAAGGGGTACGTGCGTAACTTCGCGAGTGAGTACTACGTAAGAAAAACAGATGCCTCGGGAATAGGGAGGAGCTATGCAAGTCGACTGGAACCGGGCCAATCACTTATATATCGCCATGTCTACTAACACCTACTCCGAATGTTCGCGTTATATCACAGTCTGCGCGTTTAACGCCTGCTGCATAATAAAATCGTCTCTCATCGGGACACTAAATATCGTTAACCACGAGATCCATGTATGCCGTCCAGCGAATGACAAACATGCTACACACTGCTAATAAATTACGCTACGTTTTGAAACTTTCAGAACATAAGATGAACTATCTGCACGCACATAGAAATTAATTTATAGTTAAGCGCACACATATATACGTTGCGTAGATTGAAATAAAATTGAGCTATCAGAAAAGTTTTAACCATTCAATCATGCAAACGACAAGTATTCAAATATAATATAAAGACGTTCATTCTGCACAGAATACATTCATGTATTAAACAACAATAAATGTACTTTGCTGTAACTAATTCCTCACCAAAAAAAACCGAGAAGAAATACATGTATTTGCAAGAATTGATTCACGTACATACATTACACTCCGATTTAGTTAGAGAAAGGTTTTTCAATCGTCATAAATTATTTCACATATGTACAATCCCATTTCACATAATAATCTTTCCCGGTACAATAAATGCATGCAAACCAGCTTTATTTCTCGTAATCGGTCGCAATCCTCTTCTGACTAAAGAGTATTAACCGATTTTATTTATTATACTTGACGGATATATGTTCTCTCGACAATGATCGACCATTTAAACAGTGGATATTGACTGCGCATAACATTAACGGCGTAATATTCATTTCGGAATTAATATTCATTTTGACAAAGCTGGCATTTAATGTGCTGCGAAAATACTCCAGTGTAGAAATGTAGACTCTCAAAAATAATCAATATAAATCTCATCAAATAAATAACACTCTCGATAAAATTCTACGATGCCGTTTATAAAATTTGCACTCGTAATGCATAAGCGTTTTAGGATTAGTAACTTTAATACAAATTCAAATGAGTTTCATTAGCTCCTCTTACTACTATAATATTAGCAATACAATAAATACAAAATAATTGAAAAGCAAAGTAAAACAATTTTTAGTTTGTAACATCTGCTGCAAAATTTACAAGACATATTATATAAGATTTACAGCTTTGTTCTATACCTTGTACATGTAAGAAAATTTGAAGAATAACAATGAGGCGATTAGAATAAAGCATTTCTTTGCATCATTTGCTATAATAGATGCCTCAATTTTATATAGTTAGAAAGAATATTATCTTTCCAATCATTGTAACAAGGTAAATCTCAAAACGCCAAATAACATTATTATGCAATTAACATTTTTGTAATAAACAAAAAGCATCTTAACATATGCTTTCATTTTTATAGTGAATTTTTAGATTTGAAAATCTTTGAATTTGTTGACATACGCTTCAGAAGTCCATGAATTTTTAATTGCTTTTACCTTTTAACTTTCCTCGATCTCTAAATTTCTTAAATTTATAACAAGAAAATTAAATATAAACGTATCTTGATTTAAAATGTCGAAATTTATAACAAGAAAATTAAATGTAAACGTATCTTGATTTAAAATGTTAGATTTTTTTTATTAATGTATTTCGGTTTCTGAAAATATTTATTTGTGTCGAATTTAAATATTTCTTTCGAAATGTTTAATTATTTGAGTTCTACAATATTTAATAGGACTATCGATTCTGAAATTTAAAAACATGACTCTTCGGATCCCTTTTTCGAGGCTTTTTGCCTCTTCTTAGTTTCATTAGGTCTCCACCAACATAAAAGTTGGCGATCTTTGTCGAGTCTAGAGAAACATGACGTAATCTATTCTTCAGAATAGCCATTCCAATGTTTCCCTTGAGCTTCCCTTAACGACCTTCCGAAGACCGACGACGACATGAAACTTGCCCGGAGCCGTAATCTTCCTTTATCGAGCGACCATAAATCCGGGCACGAAATGACGATCTCGATTCCGGGATTTCGTCTTAACCGATGAGAATGCTGGAGATGGAGGACTAATGAAGCAGGTGTTGCCAGGAGGAAATAGCGACGCGAGTAACACGGTAGGCATCCCGGTAACCCAACACTCGTCTACGTCTCTGTTTATCGCGGCTCAACGACTGTGAAACGTTGCCAAGTACAAAGCGTAGAAGGAACTGCATTCGTTACCGTGACGCGTGCTCCCGCGTAAGGCTGTGGTTACGTATTACATCACCATCTTTCATCTTCTTCCAGCCAATGAGAAATTTCGAAATACGTATTGCGAACGTCTATGGAAAGATAAACACATTTTAAGCAATGTAAGAAATCAAAGAAGAAATAATAATTCTCTCTTAAAAAAATTAACGATAGCAACGTGTTAAGTTCAATATGAAACCGCGATAATAACTTGCAATAATATCTTGCCGATATTTTATCTATATCGCAATCAATACAAAAATCATAATCTTAATGAGAACAACAAAATAAAAACTAAAAAATGATCGATTATTTACAAATATTTTCTATTGGCATGGGGAAAAAATCATTTAGCGAAATAAGATCTCTAATGGATAAGTCGTGTACTTCTATTAGAAAGTGCAGTATGCACAAAAAATTCAATATGTATGTAATTATCGGAAATGATGTTAAGGTAAAGGATAATATCTTCTTATAATTACGGTACATATAATTGGTGACAAAAGCGTTTTTTATATACGCACTTGTAATTGGAGCTCAAAGCGACGGTATCCGTTCGACTGTAATGGTTTCTAGCCGGACATGCGACCTATTTGCAAGAAATTAATCGCCGACGTTAATATTCATGTTGGCGGGTCCCAATGGTATCGTTTATATCGCGAACGTTATGGAATTGGTTTAATGTGAAACGAGGTAGAAAGTATACATAGACGTATATTAGATATGGTATTTGCCATCGCTATTGACTCCGACGTGCGTGTAAACACAAATCGCTAGCATTTCAAGCGGGGTGGAGAGGGAATTAGATGCAGCAATTGCATCGCCCAATACTGTTTGTGTCAAAACGCCGACATTTCGCATCGATTGCCATAGCTCCGCGATATTTGCGTCTCTACTTTCACCGATTTGATGGACAAAATAAGGATTTGTCCGGAGATGTGTAAGCGGAAAGAAAGAATGCTCATTTATAATAAACGTGTAATGTAAATGTGAAGAAATTGGATTACTGTGAAACAGGATATCGTTCACTTAATTTAGTGGCCACAATAATCTTTGACATATACAAATCTTATAGTCTTATGGAGTTATCTCATTATTGAGAAACATATTCAAGTAGTAGGGCATCGTGGAAAAATGTACTTCCTGTTATTCAAACCATTTATGTTAATTTACCGATTATAAATAGGTCAAAGATTTTCTATTCGCACGTATCACTAATACTACGCAATGTTTTTAATATTTATATCCGACAGACATTTAATTTAGCTATACATTTAAAACGCCATATATTATATATTTTTTATCTCAAATGCAAAACACATTAAACACGTTGTAAGATATTACTTTTATAATTTCGCTAAAATTGACTTTATTCTGTATAATACAACGAACATGTAGATTTTAGATTACATATACATAAATTATGAATATAATATATTTTATATATTCAAAAGTGTAACCAATACACGGGAGTTTTTGCACATAGTTGATTAACAATATAAAAAAAGAAAAGCTGTAAATCTAGATCAGTTTTAGCATCGTTTGTCCGGGGTGATTAGAAATCATAAAAATTTAATATTCATTTTATTCTTTAAAACTTACCGCACGGCACGTGATCTCGCGATGGACAAAATGGAATAGCGACGAGCGTTCGATTCTTCTCGGGGCGGCCTCGCGTATGTATATTTGTCTGCAACGACGGAAACCGAGATCGATGGAATCGCAGGAAGTCTGCGTCAGAAATTCAAAGGAGATTTCTCCAAATGTCGGCGGGCACACGCGGTTGCTTGCATACGCGCCAATGCACGCGAGGATTCTCATCGATTATGTGCCAGGTTAACGACGACGAGCACGACGACCACGACGACGGTGGTATATGCGGGCGCGTATAAATAATGCATCATCGTGTCGTTCGAGGGAGGCAGCCCACAAATATCCATGAAACGTCGATGGCAGCGATGACCTCGTGGTACTCGTGGATCGGTAGTTATCGTTCAACGCTTGTCGTTACTAGAAATATTCATGTAAAGAATATTGTGGTGTATCCGGTATTTTAAATTCAACATAAGGTATTCTCAGTTGAAACAAACTTGAGATGGAATACCGTTCCTCATTTTTGCGAGAAGCTGGATAATATAATATAATGTTATTTATTAACCGATAATTGGAAACGCCGAGAATAATATGGAATGAAATCGCAGGAAATAATTTTTTAAAAGGAGTGGAACAAATTTCTGCTTGAGTAAAATTAAAACTTTGTGATTTAAATGACTAATACATTCATTTATTTTCGGACATAAATTTACAGAAGTAATAGTAGTAAAAAATTATTGAAATGTACCATTTAATATAGAAGCAGCATCTCATAAATCTCCACATTTTTAAGTTTGAAATTGAAAAACTAGGGAAACAGGTTAATTTAGATATTACATTTCTGATGGAATATTGACAGCGAGTTACACAAATACACATATATTGGCTATTAAATCTTTCATCATTTTAAATATCATACGCTTATTTATATTTTTTACTTGGTTATTTGCATTTTAATTAATTCGTGTATTTGTTTCAGTTATTGTACACGGTTAACATAATGTTTTTATTTTTGTTTTTTGTGCTCAGTTTTAACAGCGAGTTAAAAAGAAGCTGATTTTCTATTCCGTTTATTTTCATCTTGAAACAGAGACATTGTAAAGTGGTAAAGCACATTATTTTTCATTTCAATTTAGTTGTTTCCTCTTTTGCTGATACAGTTTACGTTATTGTGTATATTGATATATTTCCACACCGTGAATGGAGTTCGGTTAACCGACTTTTGATTTTAGCGCGGCTAGCATGCAAATCCATAGCTAAAAGTGGACGAGTTTTGGCAGAATTTGCAGGTGCATTAAGTTCACGAACTGATGCAGAAATAGAGCGAATCGAAACTAATTTACGAAATATTGTGGCGTTCAAAAACAGGGTTACGCCCCGTTATTCAATTTATCAGTGTTTTTGCATAAAACCAAGAAAAACAGTGCATCGTCTGGCCGCAATGTTCAGCCAATTGTTTATGTTGCGCGCATACAACATATGTACGTGTTCGCTTTGTTTGCAAACGCCGTGGTAACGATGACGCATATTTGGCACGAGCTATCCAATGCGCCTTAAGAATCGCGTTGCACAAGGCGAGACGCACATCGCATTTCAATACAGCCATTGAAAAATCGGAAGATGATAAAAATAAATTTTACCCAACAGCGAAATCAAGTTTGAATGTAGATAAAGAGAAACAATTTACCTTTAATTCGCGTACGCAAATTATGTCTAATTTCACGATGATTGCTGTTTTTCAAAGTATTGTAGATTCCAATTGAGAAAAATGCCCATTTTACGAAATATTTTACAAATAATATTTGCGACAAAAGTTATGCATATTTCGAACGGGCTTATTTATTTCCGTATGTATGCGAAATGTGCGAACGGGTTTGGCAAATATTTGGTAAAAGTCGGTCTGCGGGTTTTTGGCTTCGGTCGTGAACTCCAAACATGATCCAACAGGCGGCGAGAAACTATTTCGTTACCGGAGCGGAGCGGAGCGGAATTTAGGTTTTCCGCTAGTTTCGGGAAAAGTTCCGTCGGGTTCGACGACGGCGCAACTTCCTTCGGCAACAAAGCGACTATCCGGCCCCGCCACGGGCAACAAATAAATACCCCGGGGGATTACTCACGATAATCGACAGTGTTCGTGAGCAATCGAAGTTTCGCGACTGTTGGACCGTAGCGCTCTCGCGAATAAGAGTGATTAGACACGAGCGTCGTACTCTCCGTACATCTCGTTAGCGCTCGTTACGTTTAACTCAATTAGAATTTTTCTGTCATTGTTGTCATTTTAACAATTAGCTACCATTAAAAAATTTCATTGAGATTATCTTTTTATCATTAATTAAATAACTATCAATCTATTAACATTACGTGTGAAAGATGGAGAAAATATCTTGACCATTTCCATTCTTAAAGCATCGCTTTCCAACAGGACAATATGTAAATGGACTTGTTTTCACATAAACTATTGCACTTGTGTACGCTTTCAGCGTACGCTCTACTGTGAATTGAATTCTCAAATATCGTCGTCCGCGTTATCTTCAAATATATCGATCGTTATCGACTCGCTCATGCGGCGCGCTAATGGCCTGCTCGCGAACGTTGCAACGTATATTGGCTTCATTTTGCGCATGAATTATCTCGCATTAGAACCACCGATCGCGTTAGCGGTGATCAGATCGCACGGCCGGACGATCGTACCGGATAATCAAAGTTGTCGCGTCAAGGACTTTGATGGATTACGCGAGGTTCCCTCCCCACCGACGAAATCGCGCGGCTCGATCGGCGGTGAACCGATAGGACGTGACTACGATCGCACGACGTGCATCACGTCGACGCATCCGCGCGCGTCGACGAATCATCGGCGCGTGCTCTGCCCCGAGTATCGCCCTCTCGGCGATCCCGATCACGGGACTCGCATCATTTTCGTCGCTCCGGGGCCGAGATCTCGCGTTTCCGCGTCTGGCCGGCGCTCACGATTTCCATCGCGTACGCGCGCGTGTAGGTACGTGCGAAACGCACGCGCTGCTGCTCCCGGCGCTCTCTAGACCATTGTTTCGCGCACGCGAGCCGCAACGCTGCCCCCGCGTTTGTCCGCCTCGTTGCGATGCATTACAGCAGAATGCCGTAAATTTGCGGTCGGCTCTACCGAGGTCAAATTGTCACTCGTTTCGGGGAACGGATCGAAGGCCACGCGAGAATTCGCTCCTTCGCCAATTGAATTTTCGGGTTCCAGTACCGTCCGAAAAGATTCGCTCGAGGCTGCTGTCAATCTTCGTTTCGCAACCTTGAATAACCAATGACCGGCTCAGATGACGTTTTATTAATTTAGCTAATTTTATTCAGCGTTTACTTTTATTGCATTTATTACATAAACTATTATGCTTGGTGGAAAATAACGAGAAAATCTTTCATGTATCTACTACTGCACTTAATGATTTTAGTTAGAAAATATCAGATATATCAAAAATTTAAATAAGCGCACAATCACGGTGTTAGATTAAGCTCCTCCTCCTCCCCCCCCCCCCCCCCGCGATCCTTGCATTCCGTATAACTTTGAGATCGCTACACCAAAGATAGTCACGTATACGTCACACCGCGATCGGTCTGGCTGGGTCTTTACTCATTTCGCTTGCCATTTGCGAAAATCGCGTGCTGCTTCGGAAGCGCACGAAGCAGTGCATGAATTGTGACAAAGGGGGCGAGAAAGAGAGCGAGAGCGAGATAGACTGGGTTCGCTGAATCACTACGAGCAGATACCCGAATGAAACACACAAAGCGGATATCCGGCGCGTTCCAAGGAAATTCCGAGTTACCAAGCGGGAATCGAGTGCAGTGCCACTGTGCGGCTGCCTAGTGCTACCGAATTGCTATCAAATCGAATGCAAATCTAATATCGGGACGTACAGCGATCAGTGACCTTAGTCCTGAATAGAGAGCAGACAGAAGTGGAACGACTGATAACCGGATGAATACAAAGCTGCTGTCAAAACGTTAAATGAATATTAGAACGATATCATTGTGCTTGCAATGTTCACCAGGCGAACCTGCCGTGATAAAACTTTAGCATCGAACTAAGATTCCGCGTAGACAAAGCGAAGACCAAACTGCTTCAATGTTGCCCCGTCAAACTGCCGTCAATCGCATATCACGTTAACTATCAAAACGGGATTCGCGATAAGTGGAAAAGTGTCTACAACTGGAAAACATCGGAACGGATACGAAACGAGTCTGAGACGGGTACGAGACGAGAACGAAATACATCTCGAACATATCATTTCGGAAGCAAATAAGCGATAGATCAGAAATTATCGATGGTCGCCGTCAACACGCATAAGCTGACTCGACAACACAGTAGTCCGGCGAGGGTCCGACGAGGAGATATACGGCCAAGAGCAAGAGAGAAAGGAAGGGAACGCGCACACTCTCGAAGCCGCTGCCAGACGCGTGGGAGGCAGAAGGGGACCGGCATTCGTGCGATCGTAGTTACGTATACACGAACACGCAGGAGGAGGAGGCGGCGGCTACGAGCTAGAATGAAAACACCACGAGGAGCTCCGGAGGGAGTGTTCGTGGCGAATAGGTAGGAGTCACGAGTGCACGCGGTCGGCGCGGCGCGGCGGCGAGGCGGCGAGCGGGCGGCGGACGGCAGTGCGAGGCCGCGCCGTGGCTCGGGGAGTCGGCAGCGCCGGGTTCTCTCACTTGTTGAGCGCGCCGAGTCGGCGGCGAGTCGACGACGACGAGCAGAGTGCGCGGACCGCCGGCGGAGACGACGTGTGCTCGCGCTCGGTCCCGTTTCTTCGCGGCGAACCACCCTGCGCGCGCTCGAAAGGTCGCGGAGGTCGCGGGAATCGGTCGCCGAGGGGGTTGAACGCATTGCACGCGCGGCGGAGTCGATACGCGGCGAGGGTGGTGCGCGCTGGTGGTGGAGGTGGGGGGGGAGCGCGCGTACACGCGGTGCGGCCACGTGTGGCCGACGCGCGCACCGCACGACGTGTCTCTTGTCTCTCGCGATAAGCGGTCTCGTCGGGCGAGACCGCGACGCGTCGCGACGCGGTATGCACAGTGGTATTACGTTATTAATAATAAAGGAGCACGAGAGAGCGCGGAAGGAGCGCCTTCCGGGAGAGGCGGCGCGGCTATTTTCGAGTGCCAGTGAGAGAATTTCCGCCGACAACCGTGCGCAACTGTCGACGAGTGTGTGCCCATCGTGATACGAGGGGCTGAGTTTGTATCGTAATGATGAGTTATAGCTGTGCGACGTGAGGACCGAGACACAGGTGAGGTCTTGATCGAACGGCTCCGACCGTCGACTTCGGAATTTACACCTCCGCTATACCGCCCGACTCCTCCGCCCTCGTGACTTCTCTGTTATTATGCTGTCACTTATTGGAATTGCACGCGGTAACCTTCTGCGATAGCGAGGCCACCTGTTCTGCATCGAGAACCGTCGTAGTGCTCGTTAAAGTGAATAAATGTGGAGCTCTGATTTCGAACCGCAGCCGCTGATAGAAATCACTGGGCAGGCCGCTGCATCGTCTATCGACGCCTACCATTGTTATTCTCGGTTATTGTTATCTCGATCGTCGCGCATATCGGGATTGCATAACTGCCGGATGATGGTCGGTTACATAATGATCCAGTAGTGATCACTGGCTCAAGAGAAGCGATTACCGAAGG